TTTCCTTTTCCTTTTCCTTTTCCTTTTCCTTTTCCTTTTCCTTTTCCCATGTTGCTTTCTGTATCAAAATACTGCTAAATATTTTGACTAAAGGAGCTGATGCTTTCAGAATGTGGTATGGGGCTTGTGATAACTGCTGCTGCAAATCATGCAGGTGTCTGGATAAAAAGGGAGGAAGTATAGTCATTCAGATGATGCTTTTGTTCCTCTGGAGAACCTTTACAAGTGAATGTGTCCATTTTTATTAAAACTAGCTTTAAAAACATATTAAAGTAGCAGAAATAATAATAACCAATATTAATTTATGACCTAGGCCTACTACTCTCAAGGATTTTGATTTTTCTTTTCAGAATGATTATGATTATCATTATACTGCTTTGTTTTATGAAAATGGCTTAGAAGTGAATCATAAAAATAAAGCAGAACATAGTTACTTTACTGTATGTATGCTTTCCAAATGAGAAAATCTTTTGTAGTTGTAAATTGACCAACACATAATTTAATTATGCAGTTTTATTGAATTTTTAAGACTACACCTCTAGCTGTATTTCTACAATTTAGTATTACATTTAAGGAAGAAGGATAGCATCTAAGAATTAATTTTCTTGGTTATTTGCCAAGTGGCTGTATGGGAAACAGATTTGCTTGTTCTATGCATTTTGTGGGGTGCTGTTTGGGATCTGCAGACTCTCAACACTGACATTACTGAGCATGTTATGCTGCCTCAAAATTAGTTTTCCATCTTATGGTAATCTTATGTTTCTGTCTTAGGTTTCTCAATTTTCATATGAACATAGACCATCACTTTTGGGCTGCATATTCTAGAGAGCATTTTTATAGAAGAGATCTTTTGCATCCAGTCAAACAATTCTTGTTTCTGTGATCATTGATAATTAACTATAGGGCTAGATGTATGCAGCTGATGACTTGTAAGATCTTTTAACTCAAATTCTAATTGGCGAACATGGAATAGGAGTTCTGATATAAAAGCAAGGCTAGCTTGAATAAAATAATTTTTCTTTCAGAGTTTATTATTTTGATAGAGAATTTTTCATAGAGATTTATGTTGTGCTAAGTTTCCTAGATGTATCAGAGAATTCAGCTACCTAATTTTTTTGCAAATTGTTGCAAAACCATGCACTATTCTTACAAACCTTCAGTCTGTTGTAATATTTTGAATGCCTGTTAAAGTTATCCCTCTTACTTACCCAACTCAGCTGCCCACATATGGGAAACTGCATTCAAACACGTCAGCTGTGCTAATCTTCGCTGATTACTTTGTGTCTTCCAGGGAACAGGTTCAAGAAGGAACATGGTCAAATCTTGATAGCCTGTGCTTGGACTTTTGCAGCAGCTTTTGCATGTTCTCCCCTGGCTCACTGTGGAGAATATGGAGTGGAGCCCTGTGGCACAGTCAATGCTGCATTGGCTGGCATTCCACCAACATAAATGCCAAGGCCAGTTCTTACACCATAGTCCTCTTTGCTTTTTGTTTTGTTCTCCCTTGTGGAGTAATTGTCACTTCTACTCCCTTATTCTGGTAATTGTGAAAGAATCCAGGAAAGCAGTGGAACAGTACGTCTCAGGTCCTACCAGGATGAGCAATGCACAAACCATTACTGTCAAGGTATTCGAAAGTTAGTTTTCGGCAAGACCTTTTTGGTACAGCTGGGCAGCACCATTTAAGGACCAAGAAAGTTCTTAAGAAGGGAGTAGAGATTGAAAAAAAAAAATTGATCCTTACTGCATTTTCATTTCAGACAAAAATGTTGTCTGGCTTAGGTACTTGAGCAGGCTCCCCAGGGAAGTCGTCACAGCAACAAGCCTGACAGAGTGCAAGAAGTGTTTGGGCAATACTCTCAAGCACATGGTGTGGTTCTTGGGGATGGTCCTGTGTAGGGTCAGGGGTTGGATCCTTATGGGTCCCTTCCAACTTGGCATATTCTCTGATTATGTAGATTCTTCATATGGTAATGAGTTTCTAAACATACAAATAATAGCTCTGTTGTTTCTGGAGGGTGATATTAAGCTCACAGAGCTTCATTACTTATGAAAATTAGGAATACAAACTTTTAATCAAAAGGAAGGTTAAAAATTGGAGCACTGTGCAGAATTGATTTTGGGTCTCATGCATTTGAACCATTGCTTATGAAATCTAATCTGGTTTTGAGTGAGTGAATTCTGTTTGCCCAATTACAGACATCCAAGAAGATCCATGTCTAAGCTTTATATCATTAAAGATTTCATATAGTATAGTAGAGATCAAATTCCTGTAGTGTACAGGTGCATAAAGGACAAAAGTCACTAAAAATGTATCTCTGTAAATTCTTTTTGAACCAAAACCTCTGAAGGTTTGGTTTTCACTAGCTTATACACTCAAATTAAACCTGTGGTTGCAGTATTTGTTGTGGAAATTGTTTCCCGCTGCAAAACCATGTCCTTTCAAGGAGAAGATCAGCATTTATTTTTTTAATATACCAAAAAAACCAAAGAAGAGGAACTTTGCAGCTGAAATTAGGTGTGCTTCACCCTTTAGATAATGTACCTCTTGAAAGATATGGGTGTTACCTCTTGACTCTCTTAACTATCTTCACTGAGAAAGTCTTTGGTTGGTTGGTTGGTTTTTTTCCCTCAATTTCAGTGAATCCTTCTCTCATTTTTCTAGTTTGGTGTGTCCTTCTAAATATCTTCCTCATCACCTTTCAGATTTCCACTTAGGTTCATCTTTGGTCCTTATCTTCTCTCTGTGTTTAGGAATATGGACACTCTCATTTGCTAATACAGTTGGATATCTCACAGATCTGCTTCTGTATAGGTTTGCTGCCTCTTTTTCGTGCTAACAAACTTGGTCTCCCTCTGACACTTCTCTTCAGATTACCAAGTGCAGTGTAGCTACGCTAGACAAAATAATCTACCCTGTCTCTCCCTTTGAGTATCTTGGTTTTGACCGCCATGGGAAACACCATCCTCCTGCTTACCAGATGATCTTGTAAACCAAATATCTTCCTCATTCAAGCAGTTTAAGAACTTAAGAGTTATGTCCACATTTTACCCACTCCTTCTCTGTAATAACTCTTAGATGAAACACTTTCTAACTGAAGCTCTAAAGCATATTCCTGCCCACTGCTGCATATTCAGTATAATTTTGTTACTTAAGTCTTTCACTTAACTACTGGATACTATAACTCTTTAATTAACTTCCAAAACTCTTCATAGCTTGTCCTAACTCACTTCTATACCCCTGTTCAGCGAGACCAAGACTCTGGTTATGCTGTATGCTCATAGCACTCTGGAAAGCACACGTATGTTCGATGTTACTTGTCATTCTTGTGAGTTATTTCTAACAAAAAAATGGCAAAAAGAAAACCATATCTCCTTCAAAACTTCCTTTGTGATGCTAACACAGGAAGTCACACTGGTATATTGCACAGGTTGATATTGGTTGAGCTGCTGGAACATTAGAAACTGCTTAATATGTAGTGACAAGTATTTTTTCTTTTATTCCATTTTTTTCCCTTCAAAATTGTTGTGTTCTTCACTGTTAAACTGTAAACTCTTTGAGTTACTTTGAAACTGCTTATCATCTGCAGAGACTCTCCCCCATGTATAATAATAATTATACATATAACAGGTAATTATACATGATAATCCTTTGAAGACACTTGCTAAGAGGATGGTATAAGTCAAGTCATAAATCATAAAAACAGAACGGAGAAGAGAGAGTAACTTTCCTAAAACAAGTCAACCCAAATACGTTAACTTCAGAGTGCACTTCTGTTGTGATTTAGCCCCAGCTAGCAATCAAGCACCATGCAGCCACTCCCTTGGTGAAAACATGAAAGTAAATTCTGTGACTTGAGTTTAATAATTGAAACAAAATAAAATATAACAACAACAATAACAATAGTCATCATGGCTAGGCTTCGCGAACGAAGATTTGAGATTAATAATAGTAATAATAGTCATAATCATCTACTACTACTACTAACTGTACTGAAAAGGGGAGAGAGAAAGAGGAGCATAACCCAAGAGAAACAAGTGATGTTCAACAATGATCACCACCCACTGACCAATGCCCAGCCCATCCCTGAGCAGTTACTGGTGACTCCCGACCAACTTCCCCAATTTATACACTGGACATGATGTTCTACGGTGTGGAATATTCCTTTGGCTGCTTTGTGTCAGCTGGTTTGTTGGCTTCTTGCTCCCTCCTGGCTTTTTGCACACCTGCTCTCTGGCAGAGCCTGTGAAACTGAAAAGTCCTTGACTCAGAGCAAGCACTGCTTAGCAACAACTAAAACATCACTGTGTTATCACCATTATTCTCCAACTAAATTCAAAATACACCACTGTATCTGTACCAGCTACTAAGAAGAAAATTAACTCAAAACCAGTAGAAACCAGGACAACTTGGAATTATTATTTGTTGAACTGTAGTTCTTCCTGCTGGATTTCAGCTGCAACACAGCCTAACTTGTAGTACCCAACAAATCAGAGACAATTTACAACCCATCCTTCCTCTGGCATTTTTCATTCTGCCTCTGACAGCAAACCACTGTAATGTAGGAGTCCTGATCAAGTTTGACCTGCCCTCTACAGTTCGATCCAGCTTTGGCTGAAGTGCTTGGACATTATATCAGTCATGAAAAGCTAAATCCAAAAAATTATTTGGGCAGCTAAAATGGGACTTAAACACCTACAAATCTGACTAAGCCCAGAAATGTGATTATAGAAGCTCTTGCTTGGTGGCTGCCTATGCTTTGAGGCTCCAAGAAAATTCTATAGCTTTCTCTGTGAACATAAAGATTTCCCAAGTTCCTGCAGTTTTCTTTAACCTGTTTTGACCTGCACACTAAGTGGCTATCACTTTCCTAAAACATATTAACAAAAGCACACCATAAAACTCAATTTAAGCCCCCTTTAGTCTATTTGTTTATTAGCGATTGAATATTTTTACTTAAAAAGAACAATAAAATACAGATAATATCATAATCTACTTCCCATGTTAAAAGGTCTGTCTAATATTTTTTTTTCTGTGCTGTTTTAGAATGACAATTACAAGACTTTTAAAAAATGTAATGGGAGCTGTGTAGTGCTGTTAGTGCTATTAGTGATTGTGAATTTTCAAGGTTGGATAACTGATGATATTGCTTTTATTATTATACAGTGCCATAAAAATCAATTGTAATACATACAGAGGACACAATTACTCTCATGTGATCTCTTCACTGGTGCATGGGTTTGACAGTTTCTGGAGAAAACATGCTCTGAGCATATCGATAAGACAGATAAATATTATGAATGCAAGCAGAGATGTAGAAAATTACCTCTTCTCCAGGAGTTCCTTGGGATTAAGCTATTTCAGAAACACAACTTAGTTCTCCCTAGGCATTGCAAGATGTCTTGTCAAATATTTGTCCAAATATCATCTCTGAATTGTCTGCAGTACATTCAATTTAAATCATGAGGGCTTTGGTCTAGGGGATTGTGTTCAGTTTTTGTTCTGATGAGTATGACCTTGAACAAAACTCCTGGTATTCATCTTATATTTCTTTGTGTCTGTAATCTGAGATACCTCTGAAGTACTTGATTTAAAGAGCTGAAGACCCATTTGGCTGAAAAGGAAAAATTTGAATAATTCACATCTATTTTCCAATATTTTTTATTGAAGGAACTGATTTTGTTAATCTTTGAAATGCAATGATTTCCAGAGAAACAACACAGACTTCGACACCATGGAGGTTAATTGGTCTTAAATTTTGTTCCTACAACGCATGGACATAGCACTTGGGATTTTTTTAATCCTCATTACATTTTTTTTGTTAAATTAATAGAAATTTTAGCATCAACATTAATGGAGGATATCACACTGCTCTGAAACTGGAAGTATTATATATGCACTGGTACAGGCAGTCTTGAAAGCTGTGGCTAACTGCAGGTGGGAAGATCTATGAGCATAACGGGAAATATAAAGGAAATCAAACTGGATAAAGGTTACTCTTCACAGAAGACCCACGATTTAGAATACACGATGTTAAATCTCAATAATTCTTTATAAAGGGTAAAACTACTCTTAAAGAAAAAGAAGGAAAACAGCCATTTAATGCCCTTTTCTGGTTTTGTCAACTTTAAACAGAAGCTTTCTTTGTAAAGCAAAGCAACATTGTGATTTGCTGTAGGCATTTCAAAGGGATTAGTTTCTAAGTGCATGTGAATGGCAAGAATCTGCATAAAGACACAAATAGTCTTAATGCTAATCTTGCACTATCAATTTTATAATATTTATTGACTTGAGGTGGAGTCAATTAGCTTTTTGTCAAGTGTAGGAGATGACTGACAGAGAACATCTTGAACATGTCTTACTGTCAGGGCTTGCTAGGGAAGAACACATACATTTCATCTGGTCAGGATATGAAATTGAGTTTCTCTTTAATACAGATGATCACATTTATGATTGACTTTTATTTTTGAGTAGCAGAAATATTTAGAATAGTGGATCATAAAACAAGTGCTTTTAAATTCCTATTTGAGCATGGTTCAGATAAAAAACCTCTTCCATTATGCTTCAGAGGTAAAAGCATCAAGTGATGGGAACATCAGTGCTATGTTTATGTTCTCCTACTCTTGTCTGTGATCTGAATCAGTGAGAATGCTTTGTTGCTAGCTTTCATAATTACACTGGGTGCTCCTTGATTTCTGAAAACAAAGCTATGATAGATGTTCGGGCATGGCCTAAGATACACTGGTGATATTCTCAGGGAAATTTAAAAGCTCCCTCTGGCACTTTGGCAGACAGGGGTTGGTGCTGGGCACTCCGGATACGGGCTGGCTCTTGTCATTTGGGCTTTCAGGGCTTTTGCCAAGAGTGTGATGCATGTGTACCTGTGCATACTGACTCT